GTACGTACTACGTACGTACGTACGTACGTACTACGTACGTACGTACGTACCGTACCTCCGTACCTCCCGTCCCTCCCGTCCCGTCCGTACCGTCCTACCTCTCTCTCTCTCTCTCTCTCTCTCTCTCTCTCTCTCTCTCTCTCTCTCTCTCTCTCTCTCTCACACACACACACACACACACATACACGTGCGCAAAATGAGCATCCCAAAATAAAAATACCAGCATGGTTAGTAATGTATGCCAATTTTCCCAGAGACTATGATGCATTCTAAATAATTTTCCTGTGGTCCAACATGGGCAGGTCGAAAGAATTCAAGCACTATACTATACATATCAAAATATACATATCAAAATAGGGAAAGAATACTAGATCTATTGGACTACATTATACAGAGCCCATCCACACCATGAAAATCCAATAAGATGATGGACGCAAGCACCAATAACATTTCAAAAGTTCGGAAAACAAAAACAAAATCTGAATTTGATGAGAGTGACCAGCACCTCAAGTAATCGCCATCTAGACCCGCAACAATTAGAGTCTTGCCATCATAGTCAGCTGCCATCCGACAAAAATCATAAAGGTCCCCAAAGAATTGAGCTTCATCAATCCCTATTACATCCAACTGCAATGAAGAAGTTCCTAATAAATTTTACTTCATGGCATACTAAGCATTGAAATATGGGTAATATGCCACAGCACTTGAAGCACAAGAACTGAAAAATTTTCCAATATTATATAAGCATACACATACTACACACTCAGGCATATAGATGTACATGCATACATATACACAAAGGCATTTAGAAAGAAGCAGGAATATCCAACAACAAATGAAGCCTGTACGTGGTAAATTGATAAAAGTTGGACAAAGCCACCCTAAGTACAATATCCCTTGACCATTGATGAAACCATAAATGAGGAAATTCTCACTAGAACTTTTCAAGGAAAATCATGGATATTAGCATAAACAATAACAAAATGACTCCTTAGTCAACAATACAACCAAAAATGCTTGATGACAATGTAATTGTATTTGTCTATCTGAGTAACTAGCATGAGATCATGCTCCAAATAATAAGAAGCAAATATCGTTTTGATGACAAAAGCAGTGGAGATCCACCATAATGCTGTAGCCATTGTAACAATCCAATAAACATAGACAAATCCACCAAGATCAGACACTAGGCTATAATTTTGGTATTGTTATTAATACATTGGTATTTATTCTCCAATCTAATACAACTGGTTTGACCATTTCAAAAGCACAGAATTATTTTTTGAGCAAGATCTCTCATAAATGAAACTCTCAAAATTAAGCACCCTGGGTGAATGGTTGATTCCATCAGATTTAATTAAAATCTCATGTATGGTTTCAGCCATGGTTTGAACGAAGGTTTGAAAATTTGGCGATTCGGATCGGAATTGCCTGATCCAGATCGGGAATCGTCAAACCCGGTTTGGTTCCTGTCATATATCGGGAACCAGCTAGATCCGCCTTGAACCGGCCTGCTCACTAGCCGGATCAGTCAGAAACCGGCCAGATTTGTCAGAGCGAACCAGCTGGTTCTGACCTGAACCAGTTTTAGTGGGTTTTAAATTTTTTTTGAAATCCAATGGCCCACCCCATATTTTAAAAAAAAATTGGTAGAGGGGCAGTGGCCCATCCCTATGATTTATATTATCAGAAAAGGCAGCAACTTTAACTGGCCCCAACCACTTTACACTTTAACTCACACGTGTCATCAAGGTGTGAAACTCAACATACTGCCTTGATCATTGTGTGTGATGCTTTTATGGATGTTCTCAGTCCTCATCTTCAATGTGGGACAATTCTTCCATTTCGTCACTACAACAATTCAACGCATGCTTTTGTTCTCTCTCTCTC